GGAAGGAAGGAAGGAAGGAAGGAAGGAAGGAAGGAAGGAAGGAAGGAAAGAAGGAAGGAGTGTACATTATACAGTCTTTATGTGTGTAAAAAGGAAGAGCAGAGAGAAAAAGTGTATCAAGAAATAGGAGGAAAGTAAAGAAGTGAATTAACAGGTAGTTATGGAAAAACAAAGGAAAGTCCTTGATTAAAACATTGGCAGCATCAGTGGGAGAAATAATACCTTGTAATATGAATTTTCTCTCTAACACATTTCTAGTTTTCTCCACCACACATAACAATATGAATCATGAAAGAAAAAAAAATGTTTAATTTTGAAATCATATTTCTAACTTTTCTGAAATTACACCAAGGTGTTCGTGAGACATTTCTACCATATTTTTCCAAAGTTCAAGTTGGACTTTGAAGAAGCAGGGTAGGGCAAGTATTGACCCCTTTGAACTTTGGTGTTCAAGAGGATGCCTGAGAATACTGTGGACAGCCAAAAAACCCCAAACCAATTGATCATTGAACAAAGTTGTTGAACCCAGAGTTCTCACACAAGGCACAAATGATCAGGCTGAAATTATCCTACTTCGGACACATTATGCAAAGACCCAGTTCTCTGGAAAAGGCTCTAATGCTGGGAAAAGTCAAAGGAAAGCGAAGAGGATGACCAGCAGCAAGGTGGATGGACTCAGTTACAGTGGAGATGAATGCACCTTTGGAAGACCTGAAAGACCAGATTAGGGATAGATCGTAATGGATCTATGTGGTTGCTAGGAGTTGAAAACAACTTAATGGCACATAATCAATCAATCAATCAATCACCAGATACTAACTCTGAAGAACTTACTATTTGATCTTTTATGTTTAAGCTTAAAACAATTGTCCTGACATCTTGATTTATTCTATTCTTTATTCTATTATTCTATTCTTTATTCTATTATTACTATTTTGTAAATTATATATAATAATTGGCATATTGTATAAACATTTCAATACCCATAAATTTTATTTTCTCTCAAGCAATATTGGAAACAAAAAGTTCATATCTCAAAACTAAAACAAGATATTCACCCACATATATTTGGGACCTACAAATTTTATACCCATTCGCAGGAGCAGAACACAGGCAGCAATAATCCTAGGGAGGTAAGTACTGCCAAGGGTGGTGGATTCAACAGATATCATGGTAAAAGATCTGGCCAGAATGTTTGGGCTTGGACAAATACCCTAGTATTGCAGGTTGTTGGCAGACTGTTTCAAATAACCAGACAGGCCTAGACCTCTTCCAGGTCTCCAAACCTGCAACTTTAATAGAAATAAAAATAACAGTATGTGAAGTTAAAGAAAGGGGGAAAAAGAGAAAAGTATGGTAAAAAACTAAAACAAAATAAAACTAAGCCCATGTTTAAATGTGAGGCCTCTTTGAACTTGAGGCCCTGGCCAAATGACCTCCTATTCTTCTCCCACCGGCTCTAATTCATGTCACTGGGCCTGAGGCAGAAAACAAATATATGAAAAATCATATTTCTGATATTACATGAATCACTAAATCAGAGCATCCTAAATCATAGCCTATAGCTATTCCCATTTATTTTCTGGTTCTTTTTTCCTTTCCATCCACTTCTCTCATTCTTTGTTTTTCTCCAAAATAACTTTGTTTATGATAAAAGCTAACACCTGTACCATCAGCAATTTTTAGCAAAAGTGCAACAAATTAATCTGAACAAAAATGAAAACATCTTTAAAGTATTTCTTATACCAACAGTAATAACATACAATTTACATGCAAGTACAGGACTGCACTGTCAGTCCCCAGGCTGTTTTCGATCTGTGCGGTTACACGAAAGATGCCAACATTCTGATAGATGTGCCTGATTCCATCTTCTGTTGAGCTGAGATTGGCATATGACACAGCACTACCATCTCCAAAATCCACACGGATTATTGATCTTTGAATATCACCCTAAATAGGAGAATTTAAAAAAATGAGATTAATAAAAATGATACAAAATTGGGGACAATTTCAATATTTGATATTGTTGTCCATTAATTTTACTGGGTGGATAGGCTGCTTCAGCTGCAACTGTCTCTAGTTTGGAAGTAGAAATCTAAGTTCACAAGGTACCGTCTGCTTTGTTTCCAGGGCCCAGTAAAATCCTTAAAATTAAAGGAAGAAGTAAAATATTTAAAGACACAGAACACTTGTCAGTGGAGAGAAAGCAGTCTTCTTATTTCAATATGGGGACTTTCTATCTTCTTAAATTTTAAAGTCAAAGTAGTTTATTTTGGTCACTGATCAGCCTTATTTAACATAAAACATGGGAATAAAATAAGATAAAAAGATAAAATAAGTAAAACAAAATGGAATAAAAGATAAATTGAACACAGCCAGCATGAATGAAACTTTCCTAGCTCTTGTAAACCACTTTGAACAGTGAGATTCTTAAAAAAAAAAGGCTTCAGTGAAAAGCCCATCATAAATATGGCTAGAAATATATAAACAAGAGGGTTAACCAGTACTGTTATTACTAAATTTGAAGGAAGTTTAATCAAGTCAAACTGCTCTTAATGAGTTCCTATCGAATGTTGTTGGCTATTAAACAAAACTTAGCAAGATTATAAGACAGTCTTCATTCTGGTCAGCTAAAACATAATTGAAACAACAATAATCAGTACAACCTGGATAGTGAGCTAATTAAGGTGCTCAAAAAGGAAACATTAAAATCTGGCCAAAGATGACTTTCCTTTGTCATATTTATATATATATAACAGAGAGAGACAGAGAGGTTTTTACGTCTTTTTAGTTTTGTGTGCCACCCAGAGTCCACTGGAGTTGGACAGCCAATGCATTTAAATAAATAAATATAAATAAATTAAAAAGTGAAAATTTTATTGAGGAACTTCACATATGGCAGTGTGCCTGTGTGCATGCACACACATGTTGTGGATGAGAGAGGCAGATACATTTTTCTACTGTAATGTCCTTATAAATATTTGAAAATGATCATTCTATCCCTCCTTCATTACAAGCAGCATAGTTCTGTCTGTGTTTAACTGGAAGCAAATCTCAATTTTAGTCTCAGTTAAAGGTGCAAAGAACTGATTGCTATTTTTTGCCAACTTAAGTTATGCAGAAACAAATACTGAAACATCTCTCTCTAGAGAAAACATTTTCTCTGGCGTTACCAACAGAGAAATAAGGAGTTTCCACATGCCCCAAAACAGGTTCTTTCTCAGATGAAGGTGGTCAAAACTGGCACATTTAAGTCTGGTGCAGAGATTAAAACTAAATGTTCAAATGATTTTGGCTATTGGAATACTATCACAAAATGTACAAACTTGCTTTTGTTGGTTTAAGTATATGCAAACTTAATTTGAAAAAAAGAATGAAAAGATATGATACATGGATTTTTATCTTTCAGTGTATGAAAATAAATTCTTTAAAATGTGATGAATTAATAAACAAGGTTGATAGACACTTGGAAGACATTGAAATAGATTGTGGAGACTTCATTAAAGATAATGCAAAATATCTCCAAATATATGTCTCTTTTTTATTTTAGTAAAATCTGTTAGACCAAATTTATGCTGAGTTTATATTGCTACCTGAAGGGGGAAAAGTCATTTATAAGCTCAGCACAAGGTGGCCTTCTGATTCTTACCAAGATTTCCTGCTGGGAAGAATGGCATCTTCCTGTCTAATTAGAGTAGACCCACATCTGCTACTCACAAAGTTTCTTTCATGGGAAGAATTCAATTGGTTCTGAAAGTTCCTTTTTCATGATAATTGCTTAAATTGTTTGAACTGAAAACGCTTTCTGCTCATTAAGTACAATTCAGGCTCTAGCACATTTCTGAAAAGGGCACATCAAAAAGCTGACATTTAAATATCTGAGGCACAAGGACAAGTAAGCAAAAGCGATAGTGTGCAACCAGTGAGAGAGAGATTTTTCTGCCAAAAATGAAATAACTCAGTGAAAACAGAGGAGGGGCAGAGAAAAAGAGTCTTCTGTTCTAAGCAGCAAGTTCTTAAGCTATATTGTTCCCACACATATTTTCCTGTGCTCTGAGGAACATACTTTCTATAGAATGAAGGTTATTACTTATGCAGTACACACATGTTGAGGTACATATATTTATATTACATTAGAGAGATAGAGAGATAGCTTTCTCCTTAGATTAAGCGATTCCTTTGATCACTAAGCTAAATCTCACTGCATTAAGTGAACAGTGCAGATTCAAGTGAATTTCTCAACTTACTCTGAACTTTTAAACTAATTTCTGGCAATTGGCTTGATCTGGTTCCCAAGAATGTATATATGACTGAATATGTATGCATACTGCTTGCATAACCAAGCTAGTGAGAATGCTTAAATAGAGAGTTGGAATGGATTTTGTATTTAATGAAATAGCTAAGAGTGGAACAACTAATGACTTTACCACAGAGGCACAATTTACTGCATCTTTGTCTTTCAATCCTCCATGTTGTAAGTGGTTGGTTCTGACCCTTGATCAAGTAAATATATCTGCAGACTGATTCTCTTTGGTCTGTATTATTTTGGTCAAGATACAACCATTTCCACAACACATGAAACAAAGGACACACTTCCACAGGCACTGTCTCCACTCCCTAATGAAAAGCGCTTTGAGGCCAGCTGTGCCATGGTCTTCATTCCTGCTGACCTCAGAACATTGAGAACAGGCAGGGCACAGCTGAGTTCACCAGTACTTCTGCACAGCCATGAGTAGTACACAGAAGAAAGCACAAAAATGACATCCATTCAGGATCGCAGCTTCTGAGTTATGACAACTCATGAAATACAAAAATACCCCTGCACTGATTATCATTCCTCCTGCATATTCATTCCTATTGGAAACAGTGTTGGTAGGCTGATGTGAAAATTCAGCAGTCAGGTGATTTCTTCAGAAGCTGCACTCAGGGGTGTAGGACATATTCCATGTAAGCTGCTTATACCAAGAGAGAAAATTAAGAAGAGGAATGTAATGGCGGGGGGGGGGGGGGGGGGAGAGGTACATATTCCACACATAAAAGGTGGTAGATTGGGCTCTCTGACTCCCCCAGTCTAAATCCTCAATCTTCCCACAACTGTGGTAAGGCCCTATTTGATAATGCTACTAGCAGCCATTTTATCCCAAGGAAATCTTTCTGTGCCCAGATTTACTCAGGAGGATGCAAGTGGCAGTCTCCCTCATTCATTACTTCCATAGCTGACTGACAGTGTATATCAATGTTTCTCAACCTTGGCGACTTTAAGGTACATGGACTTCAATTCCCAAATTCCCCAGTCAGCATGTTGGCTGGGGAATTTTGGGAGTTGAAGTCCACATATCTTAAAGTTACCAAGGGTGAAAAACACTGGTGTATATGCTCAGACTGGAATACTTTCCAGAATAAAAATCACTGATTCATTAAAAAATCTAAGTATATGTTATGTATATAACGTTAAAGAACAGGAAGTGAGTTGAAAGAAAACAAAAGGAGAAAGGAAAAGAGAATGAATACTTCTGAAGAGGCTGAATTCACTCCTTGTTTCTACAACACAAAGAGACAAATGCAGACACAAAGAACAAATTCACTATACTTCAATTTATAGTCCATAAAATGAAATCAGTATTCTAATGTGCATCCTAGTTTCCACTACTCCCTAGATTGCTGTATAATTTCCTAATCTCTAAACCAGATTTTTGTGGGTGGGAGCTTTTTGTACCTAGCTTTTCAGCCATCTCTGAGAAAAAAAAAAATCCAAGGAGAACTAAGGACAATACACAGAAATCTATTTGAGAAGAAATCTTGCCACTCACTGATTAGAATTTGATTTTTGCAGGCTTCAGATATCCCTGCCTGTTTATCTGGATTGAGAGGTCAGGTGTGATTGGACTGGATTGATTGATCAGACAAAGGTTATCCTTTAGGTCCTTTAGTGTCTGAACCTATTAGGAACCAAATCACTACAATGGACCTGACTAGCACCTGAATGGAAGGATTAAGACTGGTTGTTAACTTTAAATTCCATGAACAGTTTTGAGTTCAGTCAGTGGGAGGGTGGGTGACACAAAAGTTTCTGTGAATTGGAAAACCAGCCTTCACCATGTCCCACAGAGCTCTTAGTGCCTCACAGTAAAAAAAAAAAAAGTAATTTAGTTTCCGCTACAACTAAACTGGACATAAATCACCTCAGTGCCCAGCCTAAATTATGCTATAAGAACATGGACATCTACAGAGGCTTTCAATCTAATGCAGAATCTTTGTGTGTAAGTGTCCAAATTCTAAAAGTCTTGTAGATTTTAATCTTATTTATATGAATGACAGCATGAGGTACTGAGAAAATTACTGTCATAAAACAAAATAATAAAAATCTGGTAAAAATAGATGGACTTTTATAACTGAAACCTATAATGAGGATTTTTATCATACAGTTCAAGAAATTACAAATTATCCATGTTTTTCATTTTTCCCCATCCATTCATCGCAGTGATAGATGAAATGTTTGACTGGAAGGTCTTCTGACATCACTGAATGGTTAAAAAAGAAGGTGGTAAAGTGAATTTATTTTTATCACAGGTTTTGATATTTAAACAAAAAAGCTAAACCTCAAGCACATATCAATTACCTTATGTAACATTATCATTTCTTTATCTTCTTGAGATTATTTTCTACAACAACCAATAGTCCCCAAATATTCTCTGAAATATTCTCTGAAATATTCTGCATTCAAATGTTCAGCATATTCTCCAGATGCTTTCTCTGGGTAGGGCTGGGAATGATCCTATCAGTCACTCTGTAAATAAATGGATTAGTGGACTGCTCCCATATAAGGCAATGACAAGGTATCTATACCAGACTCCCAACTGTTTATGTTTTAATGGTTGTTTTGCTTTCATTGTGCTGGACAGAAAGTTGGTTTAGTCTCATTTTGGATCTTCCTCAGATGTTATCTGGGTGGCTTTAAATCTTGCAAAGTGATTTTAGGAAGTCCTTTTTCTAGTGTTGAACACTATTCGTTTCTTTCTTGTTCTCTGAAACATCATCATTTTTATGGCTATTTAGGGAGCTGCAAAGAAATCTTGTGCGATTCCAATCATTTTAGGAGAGTCAAGATGTGGTTTCTGATTAATAAACAGAAGCATCTAGAACTGATCATTTCACTTTGCAGAGGTTCAGGAAAATGCCCATAGCATTTTAAAAGAAGCAGTTACAGGTCTTGGACAAAGTATGTTACTATGTTATAAAATATTAAAAGGCAGAATGTAATTATGAATATATTCCAGGGTTTTCAAGATCTGTATTATTTGTGCTACAAAACTTGCATTATGTAGTATCTCCAAGGAATACACCAACATATGAAATTAAGGATCCTACTTAACACTCTCCCAAATCCAGTAGAGTTGCATTATCTCAAAATATATCCCACAATCCTTGAAATCTGTAATGTGTATACAAGTGTGTAGCGCATATACCCAGTATAGCATCTTACTGAATACTCTCAAACCTGCATTAGTGCATCTTTTCAAAAACTATCCCAATGTTTTGTGCAACTCTTGTTCAATCTCATTCCCTCCACCTTACACACTGCCAGAATTATGCTATAATGGAATATCCATTAAAGATTCAATTTAACACTAGAACATTGAAGCTTAGCAGTTTTCTCTCAAAATCTGTACCAAGATATGGCTCATCAATTTGAAAGATCAGGACAATACTTTCCACTCATGGGAAAGTTATTATTCCAGGCATGAAAGTAAGATGAGTTTCTGCTGGTTTGCCATTTTTATTCCTTTTGTTTGACAAATTTGTCAGCATAGTCCTAGTGAAGACTCCTTTTTCCATGTTTGCCTGATGATCATGGATACTTAGCTGCATTCTTCTTCCAGTTTCCCTGATTCTTCATATATGATTCAGATATAATAGCCTGACAGGCTTACCAAACATCATTACATACCTTGATTACATCCTCTGCATTTTGCTGCTTAAGAGATGATATTGCTAATTTTAATCATTCTAATGAGGATGATATCCTCAAACAGTCAATTTCAATCTCACTGAAGAGGCTGCAAGCATGATTTTCATTTTCGGTAAAGTGCTGGGATTTATAAGTAAATCAAAGTATTAGAACAATGAGATGCAACTCAAATTTTATAAAATTGAGTCCCAAGCATCACATTTCACTTGGAAGTCTTTAGTTGTGCAGTGACTTGTCATCTCTTTATCCTTGCAGATGTTTAAAATAAAGTTTTAATTGGCCTTTGTATCAGGCAGTTGTTGCTTCTCCTTGATTGTCTTCCAGAGTGGAATTCTCCATTATTTGCTTTATGTTCTCTGTGTGGATATTAAAATTTTTACCTATGCTGAAGATGCAGTGTTGATGGCAATAATTCTTTTTCTTGTTGTGGAAGAGTTTTTTATTAAATTTAGGTTATGGGTGCTTTTAATTTTTGGCAGTGATTAAAAGTATATGTGTCTAATTAAAATTAAGTCCCATTAGGTTGAATGGGGTTTATTTCCAGATAAGTAGATTCAGAATTACAATCTAAATGCATTTAACTCCATCTTTACTATGTAAAATAGTTCCAGCTATAAACTGTATGTCCCTTCAGTGAAACTCAGGTCATTCAAAAACTGTTACTTGAAAACTAGCAGTATTAAAAGTTATTTTGCTGCTCGTCCATAATATTATTTCTAATCCACCTTTTCTGAGATGGCAAATCTATTATACAAACAAGGCTTCCAGTTGCATAAATGGGTCTCTTCCTCCTTTACACACCCAGATAGCTCCAGATAGTCCATTTTTTTACTTCCATACATTCATAGTGTTCCATAGACCTTATGCCATCAAATAGCATAAGAATTAATAGACACAAGATAAGAACCCTTGGCTATCTTCTTGAAAGGGATCTTTCTTCCATTTAAGAAAGCTTTTTTTCTTTCCTTTTCCCCCTTTAATCTTCCTACAGTAGCATTAAACAGGGTTATCTGAAATAGTCAAAGTCACAAAGATTCCTACCAACACCACTTTAATCTAGACAGATTTTTTGGATGGTGGACAAATACCACATACTAACTGCAAAATGAGATGTTCTAGAAACCTGTGTTTTTCAAATGCTGTACATGTTAGTTTTGCCATTTGTTTTGCAACATTAGCCCAGGTATTCTTACAGCAAAGTGTCAGTGAGGGCAGAGATACAAACAGCAAACAAGACAGGCCATGAAGGAAAGAATCAAGCCTTGTTTATAATAGGATGATAGACCAGATGTACAGCTCAAATTTGTCAAGACACTAATCAGTTAAATCACACTGGTTAATTAATTCTGTTCAGTCCCATTCATTTTCTTCTAAATGATTCTGACTCAGAAACCCCAGTGGAGAACATGTTAAACAGACCATACCTCTTCCAGCTGCACCATGAAGGTAACATTATGCCCTTGTTCTGATGTCAGTGTGCCATCTGATGTGACAACTCGAAGTCCTCGCGGGGCTTTGCCAGGACACTGCTGCGGCTTGGCTGTGTACTGCTCACGCACACCGTCTGTGCAGTTATTAGACACGACCTTTCTGTACCTGTGAAAAGAAGAGCAAAGAACCCTGAAGACAATAGCTACAAGCTGTTTGTTTCTAATGATAGCTCCTTTTCTAGACCATCTCTGTCACATGTCAGATATTTAAAACCACTGAATCATGAAGCAGTATAAATTGACTTGGTACAGAAATTTAGGCACATGTTATGCTCTGATATTGAATAGAAGAACTAACACACTAGTTGACAGGGATACCAGCACTGGCAAATGTGTATGGTGCTGTTTTATCACAACATAGTAGCTAGTAATAATTGCCACTACTATGCTGTGCAAAATGATCTCACAAAGGTAATGAAGGATCAAGATTTCAGTTTTATAACTCAGAATAAACTTTTACCTGCCAAATGTTGTGATAAGAAATGTATAGAGTCATAGACAGCACTGGTAAATCTGAATGGCTCTTCCCTATTTGTTGAGGGACAGACTAAATCTACCATTTTGGACAACTTGAAAAGTTTTGTGATATTATTGTCATCAATAAATCATAATTATATTTTTTATAGTTTTCTTATAATCCTAACTCAGCTTTTTGTTTTTAAATAAACTCAAGAGATAAAGAAAACCACAGACCGATGATTAATATGGTAGTGGGTTCACCATGACAGTTGATAATCCTGAGAAATGGAATTTTACAATTTTGACTACTTACCCAGTGCTATTGAGATAACTCTGACCAAGACTGCAGTCTTTTGACAAAGATGATGGGTTATACCAAAAAGCAGGCAAACACTGGCCATTGCTGTGGCGCTCAAATCCATAGTCACTGGTTCGGGAGAAAGAAATATCATTTTGATGATGTGCAAATGGCCAATTGCAGTGGAAACACATAATTTCCAGAGATAAATTGACAGTAAATCTGCATATAAATAAAACCTTATTGATCTCTCTCTCAAATACATGCACTTATTACATACAGTATGCACATACAGCCAAGTTTCTTGCAATAGCTTTGGCTTACAGAAGCCAGGTGATATCCTCTTCTCATTATTACTTGTTTCAGAGATTTTTTGTTTTATTTTGGAGGGGGGGGGGTTGTTCTGAATTTTCAATTTTATATCTGTGTTTTATTGGTCTGAGACTGTAAATAATTAAGTAAGTAAATAAGTAAGTAAGGAGAGGAAGGTGATCTTCCCTCATTTTATCCCCACAACAACCCAGTGAGATAGACTGTACTAAGAGAGAATGCCTAGCCCAAGAGTGTCTGGTGACTATATGGGATTTGCACCAAGGTCTCTTTCTTCATTCCAAACCATTGCAAATGAATATGTCAGTTCCATTGGACAAGTCTTTTGCACTGCTCTCATTAAATTTCCTTTCTTGACATGCAATTGTAACAGTCTGTATAACTCTTAGCCAAACATACTATATTCTAAAACCAAGTCTCACCAATTTAGGTTATGATAGTTTATTATATATCAATAATGTATTCAGAATTTTTCCTGTTCTGTTGTAAGGTATTCTTTTACTATAGATATCAGAAACTGCATCTACAGTATGTCATATGTGAACAAGATATATATTTATTTATTTATTTATTTATTTATTTATTTTTA